GCTGCATTTATTTAAAAAAGAAATGTAGGTGTTAAATATGAATGGTTACCCAGAAAAGGATATTTGATTTCTAGGGCTAAAAGTGCTGGGCTTTACCTCCTAAGAAGTAGACTCCCCCAGCCCTGCCATGTTCTTCTAAGTAAAATTCACATTGCTCCCAGAGCCTGGGACACTTTGCTATAAATTCCTTTAAGGAAATACTTGGTTACCAGGGTTACAAGTTCTCATCTCAGCCTGTCAACCCCTTGGCCCTCACTTCTCAGATTCCCTTGGCCAGGGCTGGAACCTTGAGCCCCCCCATCTCAGTTCCAAAGTTAGAGGATGGGTGGGGGAGGATTAATCCCTCTTTAACTCCTTTCCTTCCCGCCCTCAATTCTGAACCCCCAACTGATAGGTTTCCTAGTGAATAGGAGCAGAGGAGCTGCCCTGTGCAATAAAGATTAAATTAAGTAGAAGAATCCAAGCCGGTGGATATTTGGAAGCTCCAGTGGGGTGTCAAACTGACGTTTAGCACCTTTTTTCCACTCAGTGTGCACAAATCCTGGACCTGTTGGGCTTAACTTTAGGAAGGGGAGAGAGAGGGAGAGGGAGAGAGAGAGAGAGAGAGAGGTTCTGAGGAGGGGGATATGGCTTTCTGCTAAGCGGCTGAAGGCAGCAGCAGGGCTTTCCGACCTTGCTTGGCTTCCCCCGCCAACCACTCAGAGTTGGAGGCTTCCTTTTCCAGTCCAGGCTTCAGAACTGCTCTGGTGGGTGTGATTTATGTTTATCCCTTAGGAGCAATAGGGTGGCCCCAGGTCCTGTCTGGGTGTGAGGCTCAGAGAGTGTTCAGAACTCAGTTGCTTTCTTTGTGGCAGTTTCTTTTCTTTTAGGTAAAGGTTCTAGTAGCATAAACTGAGCAGTTTCTTCTGGTTACTGCCTAGCAGGAAAAACAGTGGTTTTTTGTGTTGGTGTTCAGCTCGCTGGACACTGACCTTGAAGCTGAGGTATGAGGCGCACCCCCTTGCCCCGAGACACCCTGGCATCCAGATCTCAGCTACTCACTCCCACCTGCTTCTCCAGTCCCTGGGCACAGTCTGGAGAGGCAAAGGCAGAGGTCCCTTCGTGGGGAAGGCTTGTCCAAGCAAACACAAGACTGAATAAATTAACCTCAAACCAGCTAGTTGGGGTGTAGTAGTTTAGCAGGACTAATTGCAGACGATGTAGCTGAAATGACTTTTCCAATTAGCTGCTGGTTGGAGTTTAGTTGGAGGAACTGTCAGCTCCAACGATGGGTAATTGCTTTATTGCTCACAAAACTATCATCTATTTAGAACATATGTGCTAATTACTCTGGATGGGTGTCGAAAAAGAGACCATAAATCTAATAGCACTTAGAAAAATCTATGGTACTCCTAAGCAACCTCGTCGCCTGCCCATTCTCTCCTGCCCAGGTTGGCGGATAGGTGGCTGGCTTTCAGGAAGGCGAACGTTGGGACACTGGAGGCGCCCTGGGGAGGTTCTGGTCAAGTCCGGTGCCCAGGGCAAGTCCCCAGCGAGCCTCGCTGAGGGGATAAATCACTGACATCAAAACCAGTCAGTCCTCTCTTTAGCTGAGCGCTTGTTTTTCTTTGCTTTTTTTTTTTTTTTTATCTTCGAGAAAAGATTACTTTAGAAATCTTTTAATTGGATTATGCTGGGAAATTAATCTCCTTTAGCCCTGGCTAAATTTATTGTGGCCAATGTCGGGAGGAAAGCCCTGAAACTGCAGCGAGGGCCCTGTCCCTTTTCCTTCCTTTCTTCAGGGCTCCAGGGTCTCCCATCTGCGCGTGACAGCGGCGCCTCACGTCCTCGGGAGCGACTGTGGGGAGAAAGGGTGGGAAGACACATCTGGCTGATGGCCAGGGAGGGCCCAAGGGCGCCTCCTTTGTCCTAAGCTCCACGTTTCCGTCCCAGATTCTTCAGCTGCACACCTAGCATCCCCACAGCTCCACGCCGCTATCCAGCAGAAGTTCTGGGTTCTGGGGCCGATACTAAGGAGGCTGCAGTGGCAGGAAGAGGAAGGCGGGTGTGTCGGAGGAGGGCTGCCGGCCAGGCTCTCTAGTTCGACCTCTCCTCCCCGTACCTTCTCCCTCGGGCCTCCTGCTAGGAGCGAGGCCTTGAGGACACTCCAAGTCTCTGCGCAAAAACGCACGGCTCGCTCTTGGCGTCCTCCCTGGCACCACTGTGGGGACACTTCCCACGGTGTGCACAGAGTTTGAGGTCGGGCTGGGACAGGGCCCTGCCACTCCTCCTCCTGACACCTGGAGCATCAGCGCAGCGTCAGGCGGCGACCTCTCTTCCAGCCCCGCTGGCCCGGGCCGGCAGCCCGGTGCCACGCGGTTCCAGCAGTCTTGGGAAGCCGAGGGTCGGGCCCTGCTGGCCTCGCTCCTCAGCGGGAGATAACAACATCTGCCTGAAACGGGATACCTACTTTTGCAGCTCAATTTAGCTCTTAATAGCAGTCCTCTGAGGTGTGGTTAATTGATGGGGATAAAGGCGTAATGACTTAACGGGGAGACGCCAATGATCCTTTAATATACTCTTAAATGAACAACAACCACCCCAAACACGGGCCAGTCCTTGCTCGGTGGGGGGTGTGGGGGAAGGGAAAGGCAAGGATCTGAGGTTGGGAAAATAGCACTGGTGCTTTTTATCGCTGGAGGGGTCAGAGCGGGGTGAGGCCTGGCATCCAGGGCGCGGGCCAACGGGAGCCCCCCCCCCAGCGCGCAGGGCGGGCTGACAGGAGCTTTTCTCGTGGCTGCAGGGAGGGATCCAGAGCTGGGTGAGCTTGGACTGACTGGTGACCTGGCCGACGGGCGGGGAGGAGCTCTGCGCCACGGAAGATGCAGCCCATCCCTGGGCTCTGCCATTCTGTCGGTCCTCTCCTGCGCGGGCCTGGACGGCCACACGCCCGCCTCCCCAACTAGGGCGATTCCCCGTCTAGCGTGAGCGAAATGGCCAAGTGGCCGCGCTCTGCGGGAACCCGAGAGAGTCCCGGAGCCGGGCCTAACAATCCCAGTGGGGACCGTGCGCCGGGATGTGTGTGAGTGCGCTGTGCGCGCGCGCAAACCGTCTCCAGAGGCACAGCTAGACCTCAGCAGCCCCGAGCACGTGGCCGCCTTGAGGCAGGGTCTCCTGGGAGCTCTGGGACCCGGAGAACTGGGATTTACCTGCTCTGGACCCGGGGTCAGCTTAGCTCCTGCGTAGCATCTTCCTAAACCTCTGCTCCTGTTTCTGTCTTTAGCATCTTTCCTGTCTCGGCCTGGTTTCCCTTTGCTCAGTTCTAATTGAGTCTCTAGAGAGTCAAAGGAGTGTTTTACTGGGCTCAAGCACAGAACTTAAAACCGGCACAGAAAAGGGAAAAAAAAGCGGATCGCCTTTCCAGTGGGCAAGGGGAACCCCCCCCCCCCCCCGCAGGATATAGGCGGTGGCGTCCCTAGCAGCTGATTTACACTTCGGAGAAGGGTCATCTTAGCGCTTCAGGTTTTAGCTCCCTCTGGAAGCAGAAGGAAAAATGGCTCCAATTACCGCCCATATTTCACTGCCTTGAGAGATCGCAGGTGTTTCGGCCGCCCGCAGTTATTGTCTACCTTCCTCCTGGAGCCCACGTCACAGGGATGAAAGTGTCCCAAGAAACTTAATGTCCCCAGTCCCTCTTGCAGAGGCCCGGACGTCGCTAGGTGGGAGAGCTTCGAGGTCAAGGATTTGAAGACGTGCAGTTAAGAGTCCCAGTGCCGGAAGTGAGCAGGTCTCGGTGCGGTTCCCTCTGTCTGCTGTCTAACCAAGCCCCTGTGCTTCTGCCCCGTGTGGGTCTCTCAGAAATCAAGACTCACAGTTAGTTAGCGGTTGAGCGCGTGACCCCTTGGCAGCCCCAGGCCAGCAGGGTGCCAGGGGCAATGCGTGGTCGGGGGGGGGGTGCTCCAAGCCAGGGACAAGGCCCCAAGTTCAAATTCGTGCCCTGGCTCATTAGGGTGGAGTCCGGGACCAGGAGGCAGGTTCCCACCAATCATGGCGCCCCAGGTTTCCCTGAAAGGCCCAACGCCTTGGGTCCCCAGGCCTCCAACTGCGCCCTGGCGCTGCGGGCACTCGGGGCAGTGTGGGCCCTAATTCCAGACTCATCCCGCCACCACCTAGGGCCCTACGCCTTGCCTCCGTCACTCCCCAAAGGCGCTCCCCGGCGAAGGAATTCTTCAGCCTGCGAACCAGGATCCCGACAGGGGCCCTTCCACCCTTTCCCCAGGAGCGCATGAACTGCGACCCCGAGTTCGGGACCGCGCGAGCAGCTCCTGTCGCGGGCGAGGCCCAAGTCCAGACGCACAGCCTCGCTCGAGGGGTGGCGGCCGGGGACATCGCCAGGCAGCGGGAGGCCGCGCGCTTGCTAGCTCTGGACACCTCTCCGTGAGCGCGCGTGGTGACAAAGCCGGAGCCTGCGCAGGGGACTCAAGGAGGAAGCCAGGCCCGGCCGGGGGGTGGCGCACGCTCCAGGAACCCCGGGCCCGCGCCCCGGGACGGCGCCGGCACCGTGCATGTCCCTGGGTCAGCACTGCGAGGCTCTCGGAGTGGGCCCCGAGAATTGTGACCCGGCCGCCGCTCAGCTGTGCAGGCTTCAGACACCCACAGTCCAACGAAGTCGCTTCCGCAAGTGCCCCACCAACCCCCTGGGCCTTGCGGCTTTGCGGGGTGGGGTGGGGTGGGGGGTGGAACGTTTAATCCGGTCTTGGGCAGCCAACCTTTCTCAGGTATTGGGCTGGAAGGGGTAGGAAGCAACGCCTGGGCCTCGGCTGGAGAACCTCGAACCTGATTTTCTGTTCTTAATGTTTTAAGGAGCTCGGAAAGCCAGTGACAGTTAACTTTGGGGCCTTCGGGGTTTTTTTTATTTTTATTCTTAAACATCCATCTATGAGGCTGGAACAGCGCAGGAAAGCTGTTATGCCGTCCGTTAAAAAAAAAATTCTTGGGAGACCGTACGTATCTCAAGGATTTTCCTGGAGATTGCTTTATAATCTCTCAAGTTAGAGAGTTGGTGCGTACAGCGCCACCAACACACTGAATAGTGTCTTCCTTCAGACAGGGATCAGGACCGGAAGTACCGTCACCTTTCAGTTCTGATTGCTGGGAACTTGTACTCCAGGCGCTCCAAGTGTAAGCAGGTAATGGAGAGGAGCGACATTGTTAATAGAAAGCATCTAATTAACAATGACTTCATTTGATTGGAAGAAAGCTTTTTAAATCAATCCAGATTCACTAGCCTAAGCTCAGCCAATTTATGAATATGGAGGCGACCCGGGTCTGCTTTCTTTCAAAGATGTCATCTTAGAGGTAATAGCATAGGTGAAGTCATTTGGTTACACCGTGGAAACTTTTATAGGGTCTTCCTTGGGAATTTAATTCAGTGCTTCTTCATTTTATTAGGAACAGAGTGACTCCATCAACTGGGCTCTCCCTGTTCAGAGGCAGAACTGCTTGAAGCAATTAGGTTCACCAATTAGCATAGTTTTACTGACCCCAGCACCAGCACCATCCTTAGAGGACCTCTTCTTCAAAGTCAGGGAGAAGCCAATGCAGCCTGCTTTCCAGGCGTCCAGGGTGGGGGAGTAAATAGCGCACAGGGCAAAGGGCTTCCTGATAGTCCACAAGGCTTGGTTGCTAGCACTTCGGTGGATTTTTTTGCCCCCTTCTGATGATGGATCCTATACTACCTTGCCTGACACACACTTTAAGCCTCTCTCCTTTGGTTGTGTTTTGGCAGAATTGCTTTTAAAGAAGTCAATTTTCTCCCTTCTCTTCTGTCCTGTCCTCCCTTATGCTAATGACCCTATGAAAAATGTTAGGGTTCAGAGAGAAGTCACTGATGGGCTCCCTGAAACCCTGTAAGGCGACAGGGTAAGGGATTAAGCCTGTGTGTGTGTGTGTGTGTGTGCGTGTGTGTGTGTGTGTTAACATCCGTGAGAAGAGCACAGGGAGTGCAGAGAGGGTCATGCTGCAGTCCTTCAGTGTAAGAGCAATCAGCTAGTGACTGGCATCGTTAGCCAGATAAAATGTCTCGGCATTGAGGTGGAATGTGCCTGTAACCTCAGAACTCTGATCCCAAGTTCAAGTCCATCCTGGGTGGGCATGCAACTGAGTGACTCAGCAAGACCCTGTTCAAAAGCCAAACAAACAAGAAAAAGAAAAACTCAAAAGTTTGGATCCCAAAGCAGTCTAGGAAAGAGTTTTTCTCTTGCCACTGTCTTGGGTAGTGAAAGGATTAAATTTACATGGCTGTCATCCTTCTCTCTTCATATATATACACACACACATATTTCTCTGTAAGATTTCACTAAATTAAATTGCTGACAGTTCATCAGTAGCAGCAACAATGTAATTCCCCTAACCTTATTAAATCAATAAATACTAGATTCATGGATTGAATTAAAAATGCATCAGTATGGCCAGGAATTGCGATCACACGGCCAGAGACCTTGGAAGTGAAGATACCACTCAGAAATTGGCTGGTTAGCATTTATTTAATTGCTTCTTTTATTTCAGATATGAGATTAGATATTCTGGCGTTTTCACATTTCAGAGATCATTATGACAGGTTTTTTTTTTTTGGTTTGTTTAGTTCTTAAAAATCTTTTTACTAATTCCTCACATTTAACCCTGAAAATGATGCATTCATTCAATAAAAGTAATACACATTGATTTTGTATTTCTTGTCATTACTATTAATCTAGAGAATATTCTTCTACATAGAATGCCTTCCTCTAGTAAGATATACTCAGGTGTGTACAGCTCCACATAAGCATAAATAAATTTATATGTGTATGTTTTTGTATAAGTATACGTAAATATACTTAGGGTGAATACTGTATATTGGTTTAGATTGATTATAAGTTTATTTTTATAACCACATCTAATTTATCTTTTAGCACGGTCAACTATATCATAAACCAAAGAATTACTTATCGTTTGAAAACAAGCTGTTTATAAACTGATCTGCTGGTTGGGATTCACAGCACAAGAGATGAAATTAAAAAATTCAAGTCTTTAAATGTAACACAATATTGAGGACATTACATATATCTCAAATGTTACATTTTGGCTGTGTGTGTGTGTGTGCAAATAAATACCTCGAATATAGTTTACCAGGAGTTGGTTAGTTAAGTTGTATATTAGAGGTGAATTTATAGTTAGCTTCCACTGAAAAGAGGGAACATGTATAATACCTGAAAGTTGAAGGCAAAAAGTAATATTACTCTACCCAGATATTTGGCCATACTAATCAATGATGCTAATTATTTAAAACGTTCATTCCCTGTTGATGTCTGCCAGCATATATAGTACTGAATTCTCAGGATATAGTCATTGGCTCTTGGATTCACCACGCTGTGGAAGAAAAATCTTTATTTGACGAAATAGGCAATCAACTGAAATCTATCCACTTTAAATAAACTGATTCTTCAGTATTTTCCCAGTGTTGGTGTAAGTTGTTGTCTGTGATGTCCCCCAGGGCTCTTTCCGCTGCTCTCTGATTTGGTGTATAAAAGCAGCTCTGAATGATGGATTACTGTGTCATTGCAGCCAAGGAAGGATTAATTTGTTTCATTGATTTCTCTTTAGGCAGATTGCCAGAATTTGCTGCTTCCCACCTTTCTTCAAGACTTCTAGAAGTAATAGACAGTAATGGCCTAAGACAAATCAGCTCCTTCTTGGACAAATAAAATCGGGGAACTAAGAGTCCTAGGAAAGCTATGGCAAACTTTTTATTTGCATACCGGGGAGAGCCATTAATAAACTACTTTTTTTGATTTAGAAATATTTGGAATGGAAATATTTCTGAAATTGGCAGTATATAAAACAATATACTAGTAGATTGTAAGTAAGCATTTGTAATGTTTGTCTTCTAAAACATTTCCTAATTTGCAAGGATCCTGTTTAACAAGGGGGAAAAATGTAAAATCTATGTAATCGGCAAATCCTTTCCTTTATGCCAAATTTTGGAGTCAAATGATATGTTCACACAACGTTGTCAATTTACCCAGAAGTATTTGGAGGAGTATTTGACCCAAATAATTTTTACAAACTTTGGACAGTGATCAGGAGTATCTAAACGTGGATATATAACTATTTAAAAACAAACAACATCTGATTAAAAAAGTATCTCCTCCTAAGAGAGAATTTAAAAAAAATTATAAATTGTATTGTGTCTAGTTGTCTAAACCTTTTTTGTCTAAGAATTTAATGTAATATGAATCAAACTATCATTATAGATTTACATATATATATATATATATATATTTTTTTTTTTTTTTTTTTTCTGGTGCTAGGGATTGAACCCAGGGCCTTGTGCATGCCGGGTAAGCACTCTATATAGCATTCTGCTCCCAAACCCCAACTGTATAATGTTTCAGCATATATAATTAATCATTGTTATACTTTGGGAAAATATGTATTTCTAATTTTTTATGAATATACAGTTATGAGTAGCATTTAAAATAGATCTTGTACAGTTTCTATGTTTATTCCCTTTAATATTTTATTAGAAATTATTTGGGCAGAAAATAAAGACTGTTTTTGAAGATTCTTTATATTGCTTGTCTAATTGTTTTCCAGAAAGGTTTTACCAATACATACTGGTACTTAAAACAATTTCTCTGTAGAGGCAGCATTCTAATTTATGTTTCTGGAGCAGAAAACAGAACAACACTCTTTTCCTTGTGTTCTGGAAGCAACAGTAGCATTTTGCATATACTTAGTCTCTCAGAAGTATTTTCCCAAACTGCAGATGTGAAATAGGCTGGTTATACAAATCTATTTGTTTCCCTTCTGTAGTGCTGAAAATTATATTGATTTAATGATCTCAAGTTATACTTTTTATGCAATTAGTTGTGTAGTAAAAACTAATATTGTCATGTGCTAATGTCTTTTTTTCTCTCTATTGTGCTATGGTAGTCGTCCATGCAATATCAGCAAGTTTTTGCTTTTCCTGTGCTTTGCTGAAAGGAAAAAGGAACATCTGTTTCCATTATATATCTGCATCATAATGATAACAATTAAATAGCTATTATGGTAGTATACAGTAAATATATTTTGCTGAATGACCTATACTTTCTTGTTGGAAATTTCAGAGATAACAGAAAGGCTTAGTTTATACAGGTAGATTCACTGTAGAGGTTCAGAAAGGCCTTTGCTTACTTTAGTAAATTGTTGCAGTTCTTATTTGTCTCCGTAAAAACAAACAACATGATGATTAAACACTAGGCTTTCAGATGTGATTCTTGAATATATTTCTCTTAGGCATATGTCTAGAGTACAAATTATTAAGCGTTGCTCTCAATATTCTTAAGTGAGGTTATTATGCTATTAAGCACACAGTATATTTTGTGTTTGTGCCATTTGTGTAGTTTTTATATTTTACCAAATTGGAAGATTGGAAATAATTAAAGCGAGTTTCATTTTTTCCTTAGATTAGAGGGAAATAGTGATATTTATCTTTTTTTTTAATGTGGTGCTGAAGATTGAACCCAGGGTCCCACAGCCCTGCAATTTAATTTTTAAGCTTAGCAGGAGAATGTTTGAGACCACACTCAACTTTTTTCATTGACCTTTAAAATTCCAGAAAAACATTTTTATTTATTTTAGCTTTTGGTTAAAGATGTTTTGGTGATTTATTAGAAAACTGATTAGAAAGTTTACGTATATTACAAAATGATTATATATATTACAAAAACACCCATGTATCCCAGTTTGAAAATAAAATGTTACCAATAAAACCAAAATCCTGGGCCGGGGATTTAGCTCAGTGGTTCTGGCACCTGCCTCACAAGCGCAAAGACCCGAGTTCAATCTCCGGTACCAAAACAAAACAAAACAAAAACCAAAATCCTTCCTGATAGCTTCTTGAAGAGATAACCGTCATCCTAAATTTGATGTTTATCATGCTTTTTGTCTTTTAGGCACTTTATAAAAATATAGCCTAAAAATTTGACCCACATGACTTGTCTTTTAAAGTAAGCGAAGTTTTAAATGTCAGAGCCATGGATGCTGTTAGAATCCTTCCAATCTAATCACCTACACCTAGACACTTTACTCTGCTTGTCTGTGAAGTTAGTCTCTGATTAACTTAACCAGGACCATACAGTGAGTCACAGAACTGAGAATAAAACCC